CCCCCCAAAAAAAAAACTTTGGGGGGAAAAAGTTTCGCCTCTCTCTGTCTCTGTCTCTCTCCTCCCCGCTGTCAGGTGACTTTTTAGAATTAGAAGCTAATGAGCATGGATGCTTTGGGGAGCCCAGTGATGGACCCTGCTGCACTCTCCAAACGGAACACGGCGCTGAGATTAGTACACTTGGCAGGGGCTCATCACCACCATCATCATCTCCACCCCCCTCAGAGCATGACAGGCTTCCCGGGCTTCGCCGGGCATCCCCACTCAGTGGCTCCCACGCACCCTGGGGAGTACGCCGCGGAATCCCGCCTAGGGCCGAGTCCATTCCGGCCTGAACACATGGGGCACCACCACCACCACCACCATCATCATCATCATCCTCACCACCCTGCGGCCCTTAAACTCAGCCCTGCCCCTCATCCTCATCCTCACCACCAGTACCACCACCACCACCATCATCATATGGCAGGCCAAGCTGAGGTGGTCTCTAGTCAAACAGGAACGTTTGGCCCGGCGCAGTCAACAGCAGTCCCTTACCCAGTGTCTCGCACAGCCCAGGCTATTTCAGCAGGTAGGGACTTCTTAATACGCAGAGATCTGACAGCTCCAGTCATGCCAGGGCTAACTGAGCAACACACTGCTACAAGTTCTCACCACGGAATGTTTGTCTCAACAACAGGTAGCTACCCCGGACACCATGGTCACCACCACTCAGAAGCTGGGAATCATCCTCTGTTCTCTGGACTCCATGAGCAGCCTCCCCATGCAACTCCAGGTGGCCATCTAAACGGACAGATAAGACTGGGGTTACCTGGAGAAATGTACGCCAGGTCTGAACATTTCACTCAAGTACCAGCCTCCAGGACCGATCCTTTTGCTGCTTCCTCGCTTCATAGCTACGGTGGCATGAATCTGAACGTGAATCTGGCTCCACACCACGGCCCTGGTGCTTTCTTTCGTTACATGAGGCAGCCCATCAAACAGGAACTCATCTGTAAATGGATTGAGTTGGACCAGACTCCCAAAAAATTATGCTCGAAAACTTTCACCACAATGCACGAGCTGGTGACTCATGTCACAGTGGAGCATGTTGGAGGACCCGAGCAGTCCAATCACATATGTTTCTGGGAAGAGTGTCCAAGAGAGGGGAAACCTTTCAAAGCCAAATATAAACTTGTAAATCACATCAGAGTCCACACAGGTGAAAAACCCTTCCCCTGCCCTTTCCCAGGCTGTGGGAAAGTGTTTGCTAGATCAGAAAATCTCAAAATACACAAAAGAACTCACACAGGTCAGTATTGAAAGCTATCCTTAATTTCTTTATTTTGTTCAGCGTCCTCTTTAAGTAGTGTATCGTTATGGAGAATGAATGCACACCAAATAATTATTTTAATTACATTTTTAGATTTGTTTGCTTTTTTCTCCATTTGCAAAATGAATAAATCTCAGAATTTATGTATAGAAATTCTAAAGCTTAAATAGACTGATATAATGTTTGTTCATCTATATCTTTATAAATACTGAGAGATATGAATACTACACGTCTATTCACACAGGCTGGGAATTTTTTTTCTCTGGCAGTTTAAAGTAGTTGGAGAAAATGAAATCATTGTGCAAGCTCACAAATTAAAAGTGAACAATAGAAATTACAGCTTGTCTAGTCAGTTTTGACTGATGTCGCTGAGATGCTGCTGCCTCTAACATTGTGAGAATAACACAGCTGCAACCTTTTCGTTCAACAGTTTTGTTTTGGTCAGATGGAGTTTTTTAATGTTTGAGCTGAATAACAGTGACATTTTTAATGAACATTACCATCTAAGGTCTCTGTGCATTTGCAAATGTGGGGAGCTGAAAGTTTTTATTCTAGGGAGGAAAAATAGTATTGTTTCGGCCTGTACATTTTGAAATGTCATTCGCAGAACTGCTAAGTGAAATTAGGACATGTGTCAGAAACATCTGTTAGCCCTAGTTCACAGAAAGGAAAGTAACTCGATGGAAGATTTTGCAAAGCGATGTTTGAACTCTTCCGGCCAGAAAGGCATCTATAATTAATGAAATTGCACGTAGAAAGTTTTCACACTTACAGAAGCAGCCTGTGAAGTTGTATTAATTAGTTTAGCAGCCGGTGTTTGTAGTCTCTGGCGCTGGCTTTTTTCTGAAGAAGAAGATAAGAAATAAGCCCTTTTCGGAAAATTAAATCTGTTCCAGTATAGGGTTTTTCACCTTCCACCCCCTCCTGTACAGCCTTATGCACTGCCAGGGAAACTACATAATCCTATTGTAAGATCTGTTTACAGCCAAACGATTTTTTTCGCCCTCCAGTTCATAAAACTCCCCCTCCCCCACGGTCGGTGTTTGCCTTGACCCTGGTGCAGTTGCATTTTTTGTGCTACAGCTCAACAAGGTACAATATGCGTGAGAAATATACTAATTTTGTATCAATGTATTCTAAATATAGCGCAGTAATTTTACAGTAGCCATCGCTATTAACATAGTATTTTTCCACAGCTCGTTTTAAATATATAGTCTAACGTTTTATTAGTCTAATAGTCTTTCGATGATTTATTTTTTAAGTAAAAAAGACCCCACATAATATAAATGATACCTTAAGCCATCTTCTTGTTAGTTCAGAACAGGTAGAACCATTAAATAGGATCGCTCATCCCTTAATTACAGTGTTTTTCTTAAGTAAACAAACTTTTACTGCTCTTTAACGGCCTCACTGTTTGAAGTCTGTGAAGCAGAAAATGGTTAAATTCTTAGGGAAATTGACCTACATCAGGGAAGCAGGTTGAGAGTATAACAGGAATCGTAGGTTTGGATTTATTAAACATAATTTCGTGCGTACATACTTTTCACTTTAACTTGCCCAATGACTAATTGCTGCATTCTGAAAAATCCTGCAGGGCCTTTACGGTTGCGTCGTTTCTATTAAACACCCAGAAGTTGTCAAAAACAAAATGTTTCTGAAATCGTAATAGAACTTTGTACAAATTATTCATGAAGACAGTTCTGAATTCAACAGGAAAATAATTGCCTTCTCAAATATTAATGACTGCATTTCCCTGAGTCTGGGAAACGGGTGGATTTCTTGCGTTTTGGGGATTTTCACGATTAAATTATATTTATTATCTGATTTATAACAACAGCGAACAGGTAGGGAAGGAAGGAATTCATGTTCCTGTCCTTTAAGCTGTCTAGGAACAATAGTGAAAAGTGTGAGGTTGGAAACTATTCCCAGCGATACACATGCATTTTAACTTTTAACTGATAGAGGTGCTATTCACAATTTTATGCTACTCCCTTCCCCCGTGAGGATTTTGTAAATACCTTAATCCACTCTCAAAATTGGGGGATTATATCAAAATCTCCAAGAAGCTGAATGTCACTGAACAGTTTTGCACAGCTACAAGTGTGGTTTTAAAATGGCGGTTTAGACTCTTGGCTTCTCGATAGCCTTTATAACTTTTTACATGTAGCCTTCCAAATGCAGGACGTTTTAAATGGTCTTTTCCTGAAGTATAAATATTTACACATAGGAAAACCTTCTCTTTAGAAGGGACCACTTAAAAAATATTCGCATTGCTGCTAGTTATTGAGGCATTCAAAGAATGCAAACCAGACAGATGAGAAAACGTTGCCCTTTTCAATCTCTGAGTTGATATCTGATTGTACGAAAAAGGCTATTTAATTACTATATCAGAGAGGTTAAGCGAAGTTAAACATTTTTCAACACTTGAGAAATGAGGAAGCAGCCCAATTTTACCTGAATGTAACTCACTTTGCACCATCACGATGTTTATGAGGATGGCTTTCCCTGGGGTCTCCTAACTTACTGCTTGCTTGTACTACACTAATATCCTTAATTTGTTGTCGCAGCTCAAGATGCTGAAGGTCAAACTGTTTCCTTACGTGAAACTGTAGTTCGAATATATACTTATATGTAGAGCGAGAAAATATTTTGTTGCAGGACCTGAGTTGCACCATTTTGTCAGTGATCTTGTTTTTTAGAACCTGTTTATTATTATGCCAGATATTTGCTAGTTTGCTATTCAAATGTTAGTGCTACCGTATGTGAGAGATCGTGCTCTATTATTGGCTTTAAAGTCACTGAAAGAGACTTACTTTAAATATGGAGCTTTCCTCCGCCCACTCTTATAAAGTGCAATTGCATTAAATATTTACAATACTGATATTTAATGTATTAAAGGACGATTTTGTGTCAAAAGGGAAATATAATCAAGGTTGCGTCATTCATAAATTAGTAATTACAACATCCAAAAATATTGATACCTGCTAAGTCCTCTTGACCAAGTACGGCAAGATGGTGTGCACAGTGGCTTTGTCTGAGCATCCAATCCAAATAAGTTCAGAGTTATATTTTGGGGCTTCTTTTGCAAGCTAATATAATTTTCTGTTATTTAAAAAAACCCCAATATTCCCATACCTCGGGTAATAGAAAGTTCGTGCTCCTTTTGCGTACACGTTTTGCAGTTGTGTATTATCAGGTAGAATAATTTATGGAGAAGTAATATAATTTAATGCTGAAACTGTCTTTGGTGCATTTCCTTGAAAGCACGCCTCATATATCATACACTATACTTAGTATAGAAAACCCTAGGTTAACCTCTCGCAGTACTCAGCCAACACGATTGTATTTCTAAACACGTATATGACGTTTCTGATATTACCATCAGATTTAAGCCTGGTTTAAATTTCCTCCATTACCGCATATGGTTGTACGGTGAAAGAGTTTTACCCTAACAACAGCAACTGGCACTGGCCTAGTCACTTTCGCACTGAAGCTACGTCATATTGGCTCTCACAGTCAGCCTGCTTTTAAGACGGCTCTGTTCTTTAAACCTGGCAAGATAACATGCAGTAAAAAAATCAATCTATATTCATAAACGCTAGCTATGATCGTAGTCAATATAAAATATACTGTAGCAGCTGGGATTTAGCAAAGCCATGAGCAAAATTTCCACGTGCACCTCTGGGAGTGTGAGAAATGAACTTAATGTAATTTCTGGCCACTCCTGTGCACAACACTGAATTGTGGCAGACAGAGCACACATTGTTTACATGTAGCCTGCAACTGCACTTGGGCTCTACCTTACCCGACTTCTTTGTGGCTTGCACAAATCCCACTTTAACAAACAATTTAGACTAAGGGGGAAAGGACAACTATGAATTGGTGTTTCGGTGAAAATTGTGTGTGTGTGTGTGTGTGTGTGTGTGTGTGTGTGTGTGTGTGTGTGTGTGTGTGTGAGAGAGAGAGAGAGAGAGAGAGAGAGAGAGAGAGAGAGAGAGA